AAAGGGTAATAGTATCTCTCATCTAGGGGCATGGTGAGGACTGAATAAATCAGTCTCTGTGGAGTGCTGAATGCTCTGTTTGGGAGTGAAAGGAACACATCTAGGAACCTGGCTAGTTTATAAACTCTGGTTTGAAGCCAGATGCCGGGTGCTCACCTCACACAGGAGCAGCAAAACTTGCTCAGACGCTAAGTGGAGATGTAAAGGAGATCATGTAAGTTGAGTGCTAGGCTTAGCAGGTATGTAACTGAACCAGCTGTCTCAAATCTGGCTGCAAATTAGACTCTCTTAAGGAGCTTTTAAACATTTTATTTTTGGACTTTTTGTTTTGAAATAGTGTTAGAGGAAGGTTAGAAAATGTTGCAACAATAGTACAGAGAGTTCCTGGATAGCCTTCATCCGTTTTCTTCTAATGTTAACATTTTGCATAATTGCGATGCAATTATTAAAACTGGTGGACAGGGGCTCTATTCCCCCTTCAGGTGGGGCTGCAGCCTGAGAATAACTTGTTCTGAATCTGATTCTGGCAGGCCCAGAAGACTTTTAGTCTATAGAATTCCTTATAATTCATTTTCTGTTAGGCTAACACAAGTAATCTTTGTTGAGCACAATAAAGATGGCGGCAGTGACTTTACCATAACAGGCTATAACAAAATGAAGACAGATATCACCAGACAGCACTTAAATTCGAATAGTATGTTGCTGAGATCCAATCCAGGACACCATACTGCCCTGTTGTCATGTTTCCTTAAGCTCCTGTTGACTGAAAATGTCCTTGTTTTGATGACCTTGAAAGGATTCAGGAGTACTGCTCAGCAAGAAGTCACTATGTCCAGCCCACTCTAAAGGGCTGGGGAGGATTAAACCCCACTTCCTAGAGGGTATAACTGTGATGTGACCCAGTGCATATTCTCTTTTGTGGTCATCATCCAGAAGCTATGAGTGACATCAGCCCTAGGGGAACCCTATGCAAGTGACAACTGTAGGAATTGTTTACTTGAAGGAGCCACATCTTCCCCAGATTCCTATTCAGGTTCACCCTTCACTCTTGAGCCTTTAATCAGTATTTTCCTTGTATATCATCAGAAAATTGTTGATTAAATTATGATATATTCATATTAAAATGCACCAAACACTATATAAAAGGAAGGAAGGGAGCCTCCCCTGGTGGCACAGTGGTTGAATGCTGGGCTGCGAAGCTGCCCACAGCCTCTACAGCGCTGGTTCAATCCCAGGCCGCCGACAAGCATCCCACATGGCACACAGACCTCTCCTGCCACGCCCGCTGCTCCCCTCAGCAGTGTATTTCGCCGGTCTGTCTGTTCTGTTACCCGCTCTGGTGAATTCTCTCACCCTCCTGTGCTTCAGACTGTACCCAGTGCTTGTATAAATAAATAAATATATCTTAAAAAAAAAAAAAAAGGAAGAGAGGGAGAGAGGAAGGAAGGAAGGAAACATCTTAACCAAACTACAGACTTTATTCACATTTCACCAGTTTTTCTACCAATGTCTTTATCTCTTCCAGGGTCCCTTTGCATTTACTTATCTTGTCTCCTTAGACTCTACCAGTGTGACTATTTCTCTGTCTTCCCTTATCATTTGTGACTTCAGGATTTTTGAAGAATTCTGGACATTGTTTTGTCAGATGTCCCTCATTTGGGGTTTGTCTGATATTTTTACATGATAGCCTGAGATTAGGTGTTACTGGGAAGGAGACCACAGAGGTGATAAACTTTACTCACCATCTCTTAGCAAGAGGTACATGATGTCAAAATATCTTATTAGTAGTGGTGTTAAAACCTTGCTCACTTGGTTAAGATGGTGTCTACTGAGTCAACCCATTGTAAAGTTATTATTTTTCCTTTTATTATTAATAAATATCTTGTGGGAAATACTTTATACAAATAACCTACTTCTTATACTTTAAGTACTGCCTTCAAAAGTCATTCAGGCATCTTGCCTGCAACATCACTGTGCTAGTCTAATTTGACATTCTAGTCCTCTGTTCTTTAAGATTTATTAATTAGAATTCTTCTGTAAAGAAGCATTGCTTCTTCTCCCTCTTTACTTATTTAGTCAGTTATTTATTGAAATTATCACAGACTCATGGATATTTATTTCATTTTATGGGTTTGGTAACCCAGTACAACCATTACTTATTTTGATACTCAAACCTAAGTCACTTAAGAGGGTCCATGCTGGGACCCTCTCCAAATCAATTAAGCCAGATGGAGCACTGTCAATGGTATTTCTTTAAAGCTCCCTGTGTGCATTAAATGTTAGTTTTTTTCACTCTGTCCACATGCTTCTTCTGTAATGAATAACATATATCCTTCTTCACAGTGTTCTGCAACATTTCTTCCCTCCTAGCTCTTGGGGTAGAGGCTCTGTGATTATCATGCCTCCCACAACACTCCCTGCCACCTTCACTCCCAAGATACCCTGCCAAACATAAAGTTGGATGCCAGTATCTTCACTTTAACAACAGCCTCCTGATGCAGAAATTCTACTGATGCTTATTGTTGCATTAATTGGGGTCAGCTAGAGGGGGAAAAAAAAACTATGGCAGCCTTTAGAAAATCAGGTTTGAGAAAAGACCTAAGGAAATATGACCTTAAGCCAGGAAGGGCTTTCTGAATGAACAGTTGATTTCAGGCTTACAGACAGGAAGGCTGTTCCTGCAATTGGCTTGTCTCTGCCTTCTCAAGTCCTGCCTAGCATTTTTCTGCCATGTGGACAGTCAAAGTGTGGAAACAACCCCCACTTATTTGGACACTGTTGAAATCATACTAACCAAATATGTAAATTTAATTCTCCCTTTAGGTGATCAATGTGGAGTCAGATAAGTTTTCATTCAAAGAGATGGCCTTCCTGAACAAGGAGATTGATCCATAGCATCCTTCAGCTGGTTTTCAATTACCCTCCATCCTAGGTGTCAAATCAATCTCAGATATTTTTAGAAACCTAATTGTTTCTTTAGACAGATTGATGCCAATAATATGTCCAAAACTTAGAGGGAACAGATTTAAAATCTTATTCATGCTGGAATAAAAGCTTAACCCCAAATATGCCTCGACAGCATGAATTTCGCATGATTCCCCAAACGATGCATATGAATCTGAGAAGATTTGACTCATAAGTTTCTATTTCTCTCTATTTTTTTTCTTCACAGTGGTCAGTTCCAACTTGAATTTTTCCTGACAAGCATTTTTGTGCACTGAAGACATCTTTTATTAAAATTTTGAGGGAATTTCAATGTCTAGGGTAGAAAGATAAGTGAAATCTATAAAAACAAGACAGAATGGTATCCAGTGTCTCACTACAGAACAAGAGCTACTTCTGAGACAAGCATAACAGAGATGCAAAGTGTTAATTCGGCTCCACATCCAGTCCAGGATGAAGAATGTTTAAATGCTGCATGACAAAAATAAATCTCTCTTCCTGGAAGAAATTTAACCTAAGAGGAGAGGCAGCTCAAAGGTTTATTGTTGTCAGAGCCACAAACCTGACACCCCTCTTGATAAAAGACTTCGATCCCTGACCCCAGTAAAGTTGCTACTCTAAAAGCCATTTGTGTATTGATTTCCTCTAAGAAAACGTAGAGGTGTCTAGCAAGATGAGCATCTTTGGGAAACCAAGTTACTGTACTTAGAGCCTAGTGACCAAACAGGAGACCCCAAGACATCAGGTGCTGAAAGGTGGCTTGCAGGAGTTTAAGAAACCTGGATCTTTTGAAAAGAACTAAGAGACTATGAAGAACTTGGTCTCTGCAATGGGCTAGTTGGTTAGTGTTACTTAAGGTGGAAAGGTTTATCTGCTGGGACATCTCAACTAATCGACTAATCATATCAGCTAGACTTCAAAACAGAAAGGGTGGAGTTGACTGGCCTAGAATGGAAATTATTTTGAGACCAGGGCTAACGTACAAGGATACCTATCCATCCCCCCATATGCTAATCCTTTGCATACGACCTTAAAAAATGAGTGCATTTTTCTTGTTTGAGGCCAAAATGGAGATACAGTGACAGAAAAGTATTAGGACTATCTGTTACACAGCAGGATTGAGGATTTGGGTACACAGTGCAGTAAGAGAAGAAAGGGAGATGTCTTTCTACCATCAGATCAAACTAGATTTGTCAGCTTTCCATACTAGATAGAGAAATCCTCTTTGGAGGCTGTTTCACTGCTAGTTCCATATAATTTTTTTTTTAGCAACAGAAGCTGGAAAATTATTTATTGAGCATCTACTAGGATGCCTGCTCTCATGATCAGACATTAAGCAAGTAAATAAACAATAATAGAAATTTCAGAGAGTGATTAAAGCTATCAAGAAAAATGAATCCAAGTGAGAGAGCGTGAAGGAGATAGGCATCAGGTCAGTCCTCTCTGATGAGAATCCATTTGAGTTGATCCCCAGTTGTAAGAAGGAGTGAACAGGTGGGCAGAATATTCCAGCCAGGTGACTGCACACAAGCATCAGTCTTCAAGGTTGGGACAAACATGGCAGAGAGGTCAGTTTGCCTGGTGCATAGCTGACAAGGTGAGGTGGGTTAGAAGAAGGCTCTGGAGAGGAGCCTCTAGGTTTGCTTGTAATATAACTGGCTTCTGGAGAATTTGAGGGCAATGAGATTGGTAAGGGGAATGATCCATTTTTGTTTTTCAAATACGTATATAGCTTCTTGTGAGAACAGGCAGTCTGGGAGCAAGAGTAAAAACAAAAACTAGTTGGGGCTTAGTAATACATGCAGTTCCTAAACCCCAAGGACCTAACTATCCTGCAGCACACTTTCAACCTATTTGATGTTGATGCCCACTATATTTATTTCATAACCTCAGAAACTCTCCTCTTGCTTATTGCTTAATTATCAGGGGAAAAAATTTTGTCAAAATTTGTTTAACTTGAAAATAGGGTTTGTGCTTATACACTTACTCAAATGACATCTTACTTCAGTCAAAGAAGTATTTTTTCCTTATTCAGTTATTTTCTTTTTCCCCTACAGGGACCCCAGTCACCCTTCAGTACCTTATCACTATTATGAACCTTATGGACCTGATGAATGTACAATGTACCTTTCCCATGAGCGAGGACGGAAGGGAAGTCATCACCGCTTTATCACAGAGAAACGAGTCTTTAAGAACTGGGCACGGACATTCAATATTCACTTTTTTCAACCAGACTGGAAACCAGAATCCCTTGCTATAAATCACCCTGAGAATAAACCTGTGTTCTGAGAATTGAGTGTGCTAGACTGAAATCCCAAGTGCCCATAGTATCAGACACCTGGGCGCTGGAGTTCCTGGGCCAAGGACACAAAAGAAGAACAGAACTGGTGGCAGGAAATAGCCTCCCTCTTCAGGATGTACTGTGTACAGATGCCTAAGAGGCAGGACTATGACGCAGTGCACTTGGTTCATGAGGGAAAGTTCCAGAATGAATATATCGTAATGAGTCATCCCTTTCAAAAGGAATTATCTTTGGATCTGAAGACTCATTCCAGCAATGCTGCCAAGGCTAAAAACATTGTGGATCTCTTTAAGTATTGCCTTCAAAACTGAAACACAAACAACTCAACAATATTGGTTGTATTTATTTATAGAAATATCACATCGAAAGACATTTTTCTATCAAGTCTTATTCTAACCTGATCTATAACCCTTGTCATCTGTTGGACTCTGTATGTGTGATTTGTAAACAAAAACTGCTTGAAAGGACAGACCTGATTTCTGAAGAGCACATCATCACTGACTTTCATAAAGCAAATGCCCAATATTTATTTATTGAAAGTTTTTTAGTGTACTCTAGGCCAGTATTTTTATAGATTATGATTATGTGGTGATTTAGCCTTCCTAGCTCTTTAATCTTGAACAATGGTTGGAAAATGCCTAGAATCAGGTCGATGAGTTGCTGTGTTCACCATGCTTATTGGCAGCATGCAATTGGTATTTGCCTTGGAAATGTTGTTGTTGCATTTGTTGAATCCTCAGCCTTCAGGATAGTTATATGACATTTTCTAAGGTGCAAAAATACCCTAAATGACAAAATTGAAAACCAAAAACTAGATCATTAAAACAAACAGATACCAACAAGAGAACTTGCAAGACAGTTTTCTTTAGTAATGATTGACACAGGTCACTTCACTTAATCCCGAGTTTCTTCTTCTGCAGAATGATGTCACTGTACTAGATTACCTCTTAAAATTTATCTCAAATCTAAAATTCTCTGAGTCTTTGTGGACCTATTGTATTTGAGGACTGCACACCTGGAATGGTGGGATAGTCACAGTACCCAGAGTCTTATTTTAGGGGACTTTTTATATATTTCCCTACTACCTATTTCCATTCTCTCTTGTTTTTGAAACATATTACCCACCTCATCCCTTTTGGCTAAAATCTTCTCCCACCTTTTCTGGTCCTTATGCCAAATGGGGGTGGGAAGAAAGAGAGGGAAGGAAAACATTTCTGTGGTGTTTCCTGGCTACAAGTGTAAGGAACTGCTTTTCTGTGTGTCTGTGAAGAGAATACAAGGAGATTCCCTGTCATACAATTCATTTTTCCTATGAACTATTCACACTCACTGCATGTACTCACTGTCATTCCCTGGTCTGCAGTAATATGAAGGACTTATTCAGAGGCAAGATGAGTAAGTATGAAAGATTTCATTTAAGCAAGTAATAGTGTTCAAAAACAGTCTTTTAAAAACTATCAGCATTTTCTTTACACATGGCTTACGAGGCATTCGTTTCTCTAACGCCAAATTCCAAGGCCACAGCAAATAGCATGTATGGAAACTGACACTGTTTTACAGAACATGACCTGGCTTGTGATTAAAGAAGGTTTCTCATATTACATTTCTTTTCCCTTTCTTTGGTTAGTGTTAAGAGTTCATTCCCTTGCACTAACTGGTGGTATTAGTTATAGAGTACTATTGTTGAAATGCAAACACAGTCTAGCTATTTATATAGCAAAAATAAAATTGGTGTTATTGAACTGTGGCTGGAGCCGTTAAAAGCCAGTACAATTGAAATGCCTGTCCAAATGTACTGGAATGTGTTCTTTACATTTATATTTATAAAGAGAATATAGAATTTTATTCCAGTGCAGTCTCTTATGCAGCATGGTCACTAAACACATAACTCTTTATAAATATATGAATTTTATATAACTGATTTATGGACCATCTTGACCATCACTTAATGCAATGTTGTTCAGATGAAAGTAGCTCTTTTAGTAAGTTTTATAGAAATTTGGAGAGGCATACTTGGGCCATGCAAGATGCAACTCTATTAGTTAACCTTACAATATCTCAAATGTCTGTGTTATCTTCAGACTTTAGGGGGTTGGCTTTGTTTTTATATTTTGAACTATATGATAGTTCCCTATTTTTTGGTAATGTTTCCCTCAAATACTCAAGAGTAAAAAGCAACTGAATTCTGAAATTCCTGGCTTCACTAAGAAATATTTTAAATCTAGGATATATGTATAGGAACATTTCTATTTTTTAAAGTATGGCACATATAAGTACAAAATTATCACTTGGACAATGGTTTTATTGCATTTGAAGAAAATGACTAAAATTCTGATGCATTGTGCTGATGGACCTGGTTGTGGGCAATTGAGTTCTTATCTTGTCACTATCATTTCATGACCATCAGTTCTAATACCATTCAATACCGTTAAGCATCAGCCCTGATATAAAAAATGACTACAAAACCATGTTTACAGACCTCAGTGATTTCAGTATCCAATTGTGTTTGAAGCCTAAGTTATACTCTTTATGTTACATACCTTGCCTTCTCTCCCCAGCTGTGTCATCAGCTTCCTCTTAGCTTTTCAGACCACAGTAATACAAAGCCACAGCTGGCCCATCCATGGTGTCTGTTATTTCAACGCAAGAACATTTGGCAGAGACCATTACAATAGATAGCCATTATGGGCAAAGATACAGGAATTCACAAACAAAATCAATCACTTCAAATGGCCCATAAAAAGAGGAATCTTACATTTAATATTCTACAGTAAATATTCACCCAAGAAAACGTACATTAAAAGAACATTAGGAGGTAAATATTCAGTGTGCTGCGTGGGGACTTCGCTGTGTGATTTCCATTACAGTTAATGGGTGTTTGGTAACTAAGTCCCTGAGCTTCACTAACCCTGCAATGTGCTCCTAAGGGCTAGGCATAAACCCGGAGCAATTCAGGAACTTCCAAGGTCCGGCAATTTTGTTTTGAGCTTTTCTTCAAAAAATACATGAGAACAAAACACAAAGTACTATATTACATGTGTGATCTCTTGGAATCCTTAGGTTATTACCAGAAATGTGTATAGATTCCAAACAACACCTCTCAAGGCAGTTTACCTTTGTTTTCGGACATTCTCTGCATTATTAACCTATTTGAATTACTTCATGAAATAAAAACTTCACTCAAAAATTAACACAATTGATTTGGAAGCTAAGTGAACACTAGGTAAAAGTGGAGGGAAAAAATTGAAATTCTCTTAGGATTAAGAAAATGTTATTTAAATGCATATGTACATATATGCCTGACCAAATATTTGCCCTTTTGTAGGAGTTTTCCTTTTGGTGCAGTGGAATACTCTGGATTCCACTGAGGTGATGATGCTGATTGTTAGAGACCTACTCTTAGGGTGTGTGTGTGTGTGTGTGTGTGTGTGTGTGTGTGTGTGTCTCTCTCCTCCCCCCAAGTTAGGAAGTGATGCTAACAGTCCCAGCATTTTTTCAAACCTGACCCAATCATTTCTTCTACTCTCACTGCTTCTCTCTTGACCCTCATTCCATCTTTGTGCCATTATTATCTCCTGATTATTTTCCTTTGTTTATAGTGTGCTCTTAAAATAGCAGTCTTTTAGGATTAAGGTTTTCTTTGCAGGTTTTTAAACTTAGACACTTACCTGAGAAATGGATTTGGGGTGGGTTCTGCCAGAGCAATGACTGGAGTAGGTGGGAGGTCTATATCTGGCTATAGGACAAAATACTGCAAAAGTACCATCATCCTGGTTATCTTGGGGCTAAGATAAGAGAGAAGTGGAGGGGCCTCCCTGGTGGCGCAGACGGTTGAGCACAGCGTTATGAAGCTGTCCGAAGTCTCTGCAGTGCCGGTTCGATGATCCCCGCAGGCAGCAGAGATGCCCACATGGCGAGGCAGACCTCTCCTGTCTCACCCACTGCTCCCCTCAGCAGTGTTTTTCATCAGTCTGCCTGTTCTGTTCCCCACTCTATGTCTGTGAATCCTCTCACCCCCTGCACCTCTGGCCTGTACCCTGGTTCGTGTATAAATAAATAAATCCTTAAAAAAAAGAGAGAGAGAAGGGTAGCAGTTCCAAGACATGATAGTCTCGGATATAACGGGATAGTGGGTGGCTCCATCAAACTGTTTAGTCACCTCAAAGAGAACTATATAATACGAAGTTCTTGGGGAAAAAGTGAATCAATCGCCCAGGTTCTAGCACAAGCTAGAAGATACTTTGGAATGGGGAGAGATAGAGAAGTATCTCCAAGGCTTAAAAAAGAACAGGAGTAACCGCTCTCTTCTAGCTCACTCATCCCCACCTACTCAGGGTATTGAGCCACCATAGAAATGCAAAAAATAAGGCTGCAATCCTGTTTGTGTCTACTCAGTGCCCTAATATTACATGCTACCTTGGATTGGCCCTTGTCTTTTTATGTATGTGTCCTGTTGGTTGCCTAATTAGATTGTAAGCTCTTTGAGACAGGAACTATTTATCCTTTGTCTTTGTAGCCCTATGCCTAGTACAGTGCCTTGCACACAATAGGCACTCAATAAATGTCTGTTGTTGATGAAGACCTCTAATGTTTACCCATTGGATTGGTAATTGATGTATATTCTTCCATTTAAGAAGTACATGAGACAGAATAGGTGATGATATAGTTAATTTAGGTAGGGTTTTATGGAGTCAGTCCTTAAAATTATAACATTTTTAATCAGTAGCTGACATGGAGTTGGGTAGGATAATGTTGCTGAATTAATTAGTCTGCAAATGCTAACTACTGAACACAGAGATGAACTGAAATTTAGTACACTTTGTGTTCTTGCTCTTAGCACGCTGCCCTTAAAACAAATCAAATTTAACATTGACAAATGCTATACCATAGGCAGAAAGGTAGCTTGGACTCTGACTTCTGCAGTTCAAATAGAAAGGGAGGCTAAAAGGAGATGAGGTAATAGCCTGCCTTAAAGTTGAAAGCCTCCAAAAGCTGCTGGGAATACATCTGGTGGTAGCTGAGGATGTAAAGGTAATAAGCATACATTTACCTTAAAATGAAACAAACCAAAATAAAAGGGTTTTGTTTCCATGAAGCAGATCCAAAATGAGGGGAAAGGGGAATTCTTGGGGAAAGGTGCCCTCAAATCCAGCTTCCCTCAACTCCAGCTCCTCTGTCACTGCCTGGCCAGCATGTGTAAAGATGTCTATTGATCTTCAGTATACAGGAGAGGACACGCGGGCATAGAGTCAGCGAAGGTGAGTTACTGGCTAATGGGCACCTCGACAAGGAACCCTCATCTTTACCTCCTTGTACCTGTGGACACTCTGGAATTCCTTACTTTCACTCCCCGCTCTCCCACATACTTACTTAATTGCATGATCTTGGTTTCGTTTTGTGAAGTATAGGAAAAGGATTAGAGGCCCTACAGTCAAGTGAGAAGGTTGCTGATTTCCACAGGTAGAGAATTACAGATTTTCCTGCATTTATAAAAATTTTATTATAATTACAAAATGTTATTTAATAAAATATTAAAAAAAAAAAAACATTGTAACAAGATTTCAAGCAGAATCCCAACAAGAGTGTTAGGAGAAATCTAGTATATGCCATGTTTGATGCAGTTAAAAGAAAGTGTTTGCTTTCTACATTAATGATCTCAAGGGTTAACATCTTTCCTTTTTATCTTGTGACTAGTTCTTTCATTTTAAAACCAAGTACAGGAAGGGCCTCCCAGGTGGCACAGCGGTTGAGCGCTGGGTTGCGAAGCTGCCCGCGGCCTCTGCGGCGCCGGTTCGATCCCCAGCTGCTCCCCGGCCACCGGAGGAGGGTCCCACATGGCACACAGACCTCCTCTGCTGCCCGCTGCTCCCCTGAGCAGTGTACTTCAGTCCGTCTGCCTGCTCTGCTCCCCGCTCTGTCTCTGGTGAATTCTCTCACCCTCCCGCGCTTCTGACTGTACCCAGTGCATGTATAAACAAAACAAACAAATAAATAAATAAATAAAACATGCCTAAAAAAAAAAACCAAGTACAGGAAGTCCATGAGAGGGTATCAAAACCTTTACAATTATGTTTTATCTACTGGCTAGCACTTGGGTGATTTGCACAATATCATTTGTATTATAATATAGTATTTCATAATAATCCTGTTACCCCAATGTGCAAATAAGCAAGCTGAGACTAGGCATGTAAGTGCTTCACCTGTATAAATGCATTTTACTCTCACAATAGCTAGAATGAATAAATAGGTTATTTTATCATTCCCCTTTTACAGACATGAAGACTGAGGTACAGGGCACTTCAGTAGCTTTCCCAAGGTCATGCAGCTAATAAGCAGGGTAGTCAGGTAGGAAACACAGAGTCTGTCTCCACAGTCTCCATCCTTAGTCACTGTGTACTTGCTGATACAAATTTGCACCTATAGGTAGCAACTTCTATTAGAATATCACCATATTCTATTACAACATATTCATACGTAGTATATGTAATATTTGACACAGAAAAAATGATAAATGGCAAACATGTAAATTATGAAGCAAACATAGAATATTACCACTACTTTTGAGGGTAGGTGAGTGATCGCTAGTTGTCTTGGATTTTCAATTTACCATTCTCTTGCTTTCTAAGGTGTTTTATTCCATTCAAATATATCAATAAGTCATCCATTGTTTAGTTTTATGTGTTAATAAACATAAGACCATTACAATATTACATAGAGGCTTTCAAAACTTGCTTTCTTCCAAGATATATATACCACTTTTCTTGCATGTAGCTAGTTTATTATCATACTTGTATAATGCCATTGTGTGAATATACCATAATTTATTTTTATCCATTCGATTTTCAGTGAACCATCGGGTTTTCAGCTTGTTGCTCATATATACAATGCCTTTATGAACATTCCTGGAAAGTTCCTTTAGCACATGGGTGCAAGAATTTTCATACAGAATATACACCTTGGAATAAAATTGTTGGGCTAGAGAGTAAAATTGTTCACTTGTGCACCGTAATGCCAGATTGTTTTCCAAAGTGGTTAGATACTTTATATTCTTAACAGTTGCCCACTTCCTTTCTAACACTTGACTTGGGATTTTCAGACTGTAAATTTTTGCCCATCTGGTACATGTAAGTTACATCTCATTGTGATCTTAACTTGTATTTCTTTATTTCTTATGAAGGTTTACATTTTTTCTTCTCTATTCATATTACCATGCCTGTGAAATAGCTAGTCATCTTTACTACCTTTCTTGCTGGGAGGCATTTCCCTACTTTCTTTCTCTTAAATAATCTTTATATATTCTAAGTACCTCATTTTTGTTCATCATATTTGTTGCATATCTCATCCAATTTTTTTGCTTGTCTTGTCTTTTTCTCTACAGTGTTTTTAATTTCAAGGTAGTCATGTTTCCTAACATATATGATTAGAGCTTCTTATGCCTTGTTTATTTTATTATTATTGTTATTATTTTTTGTGTGTGTGGGACCCTCACCGGTGGCCAGGGATCGAACTGGCACTGCAGAGGCTGCGGGCAGCCTCACAGCCCAGCGCTCAACCGCTGTGCCACCAGGGGAGGCCCTTTATGCCTTGTTTAATAAATCTTCCACTACTCCTGAACAATAATTATTTTCCTTTATTTTATTCTTAAAAATTTCAAAGACTGTCACTTTCATGTGACAGTAAGGGATTTTTTTTAATAAAGTGAGGTAAAAATCATTTCTGTTTTAGATATTATCTGTCCCAGCAAACTTTCTGAAGAATTCATGCTTTTCTAATGATCTGCAACCAACTTTTCATACATGTGGGGAATTTGTTTCTGTTATTTGTATTTTGTTCCAGTCTAACCAAATTATCTATCCCTGCACTAATATCACAGTCTTAATTACCTTAGCTTTATAATAAATCTTGATATCTTGTGGGGCAATTTCCCCTGTACCTTATTCTTCCTGAAGAATGTCTTGCTTATTCTTTTAATATTTAAGTCACTTTTTTGTACATTCTTATTCTTAAAGTACCCAGATTTTCTGTATATACTTTAATGAAAATTTATACATCTGTACACCCATGTAATCATTTCAAGATCACAACTCAGTATATTTTCAGTACCCCAGAAGTTCATTCATGCCCTCTTTAGTCAACATCTCTGTCAAGGATGACAACTTTCTGACCCCCCTCAATGTGGATTTGTTTTGCCTGTTTTTAAGTTACATATAAATAGAATCACAGGTGTGCACAATTTTTGCATTTTTTTCAGCCATATTGTGTTTGCAGAATTTATCCTTGTTAATATAAATGGGCACAGACACTATGAAAAATGGTTGGGAGAGTCCTTAAATAACTGAAAATAGAACTACCTAAGACCCATCATACCATTCCTAGATATTTATCTAAGGAATATAAAAACACTGATTCAAAAATAAAACATGTATTCCTATGTTCATAGAAGCATTATTCACATAGTCAAGACATGGGAACAACTTAGAGAAGTTATGGTAAATATACTCAACAGAGAACCTCCCCGGTGGTGCAGCGGGTTGAGTGCCGCACTGTAAAGCTGTCTGCAGCCTCCACAGCACGGGTTCGATCCTGGCCGGCCAGGAAGCTACCCACATGGCACAGCAGACCTCTCCTGTCGCTCCTGCTACTTTGGTCCATCTGCCTGTTCTGCTCCCCGCTCTGTCTCTGGTGAATTCTCTCACCCTCCTCCGCCTCTGGCCTGTACCCTGCTCTTGTATAAATAAATAAATCTTTAAAAAATATATATATGCTCAACAGAATACTACTCGGTTATTAAAAACAATGAAATCTTGCCTTCTGTGACAACATGGATGGAACTGGAGGTGGTTATGCTAAGTGAAGTAAATAAAAAAATTGAAGACAATTACTGGATAGTTTCGCTCATATGTTGACTATAAATAACCAAAGTAAACAAACTAGGAAATGACAAGAAAAATAACTCTTATACTCGGACAAATATGGTGGTCACCAGAGGGGAGGGGAATGGAGGTTGGAGGAAAGGCTAGAGGGAGCCCAATCTGAAAGTGAAACTGATGTTAGAATTTTGCTAATGGGTGAGGTGAGGCTTACACACATATAGTGATGTGAAGCTGTGCATTGAAAATTATGTAGTATTGTAAATCAAAATTTTATTTAAAAAAAGACCCACCCTTTTTGTTGGCTTGTCATGTTTTTTTCTTATGTATAGGAATTCTGAACATAGTCTAGATTCAAGTCCTTTGTTTTATATATATGTTGCAGTGTGTAACTTGCTTTTTCACTGTCTTAAGGGTACCTTTTGATGACTAAAATCTCATTATTAATCATTTTAATTCCAAGTTATCAATATTTCATGCATAATGTAACTTGTATCCTATTCAAGAGCTCTCACCTAGTCCCAGGTTAAGTAATCTCTTATGTTTTCTTCTAGAAATTTTTTCCCTCCTTTTTATATTTGGATTTATGATCCATCTCAAATTGATTTGGTGTTATGATGTGAGACAAGGCCAAGGTTCATTTTTTTTTCCCCTTAAGGAAATCTAATCGACACAACACCATTTATTGCAGTGTCAACCTTTTTCAT